TATCTATTTATTTATTTATTTTACATCTTTCTCACTTTCGGCTCTTGTTAGTACCTTGATTGCAAGATGGACATTCTTTTGTTTTGACATAATTAATTGTTCCCTAAACATTTAGATTAAAAAATTCAAATAAAAGAGATAAAAAAAATTAATGGCTTCAAATGATATATTTAATAAAATATTTAATTTATTCTATCAAAGTATATAACTGATAGTTATTTTGAAATGTTAAAATAAACACTTTTTAAAATTAGTGTTAATGTTATAGGAATAATCTCATGTAAGATTATAACTTTATAATCATGAAATATCATGAGTAAACTTCTAAATGAAATGAATTAATTATATAATAACATATCATATTATATACTTATAATATTATGTAACAATATAATTATAATATTTTTATAATTAATGGGTAATAGGTTAATTTAATTTAATTTAATTTTTTTTTTAAACTTTGATTGGCTGGGTCTGGGATAGTCTAAAAAGTAGATACGTAGGGCAAGAAATGGTGTAGTAGTTGGGGGTATCAAATGTCGCCTTCGCATGTGTGTGTGCTGTCCCATTCTACACCTAACTCGTCTCCCTCTGTCTCTGCAACTTCAACTTTGTGTAAAATCTATCTGAGCTAGTTATTACATGAATGAGGTAAAAGGTGTTAATTATTACATGGATAACAAGATATGGGAATAAATGAAGTCTACACATCATTTATTTTTATTTTATTTTTATTTCTATTTTTTTGAATTTCATAAGTCAAAAATTTCTTTTTAATATTAATTTCTTAGTTTTTGGTTATTACATTGGATCCCGAATAATTCAGAATTGAACCGTATTAGATCTCATTAGAGGGAAAACTCTCTCAATACCTGTTTTTCCATTCATAAACTTAAATTTAAAATTTTATTTTAAAAAAAAATCGATCCTTTTTTCATTCGAACCAATAAATTCGTTGAAATTTCATAAGTCAAATACGAGCAAGAAACTTTACCCAAGCTCCATCCAGGCCCAGTTTTTAAACATGGAAATTGCAATGAGTCGATGATGGATATTATCGGCCCAAGGTTTACGACTTATGTTTTGAACTTGGGTCCTGACTAATCCCCAATGGACCTCTTGCCTTATCCATGCCTCCCAGCTCAAGGCCCCAAAGCTCAGAATTGGGTTGGTACCAACTTGATCATGTTATATTGGCAACACATGTATGAAACAAACCAAAAGAAGAATCTTAGATGCACTAACTACAAAGTTTAATTTTTTCCCTAATATATTATAGGTTCGCTGCTTGACACATTGTAAAGATTTAAATTTATTAAAAAATTTAAATTAGTAAATATCAATTCAAGTTAAATTCTTATTAGTCTTAGATGCACTAATAGTTTGGTTGATTTGAAGGCAGGGGGAAATAATCCT